CCTCCTCCCCCAGCCGCTGAACAATGGCTCAGTGTGCTGAGCACCACAGACCCCATCTCCTCTCCCTGCCCAGCCAAATCCAGGGCACAGACAGGCTCCTGCTCCCTCCTGCTCTCCTGGGAAAGGCCGCCGTCACCCAGGCCACACCCACACTCACCTCCTCGGTGCTGCCCCCTACTGGCCAGGATCGCACCGGTCCTCTTAAATCTCTACCGAGTAGAGCTTCTCTGGGGGCTGGGCTGGTCTCCCAGGTGGGCTCCACCCTGCAGCTGCTGGGGCTTTGCTGTGCTGCTCTCAGAGACACAGTGCAGGCTGGGCTGATCATCCAGACGAAGCTCAGCCAAGGCCCTTGGGAGGATACAGTGGAGACGGCGGGCCCCGGGGAAGAGCAAGCCACAGGTGCAGCTTCTCTCTGGGAATGGCTGCCCAGCAATGCTCCCCGAGGGCCTGCTGCCCTGCCCTTCCCCAGGATACAGAGCAGGAGGACAGAAAAGGAGGATTTTCAATGCCAGGTGAACAGCACGGGAGGGAGAACAAGGTGGGAATGCAGGCAGGAAGGAGGGGGCTTGGAGCCCTGCTCCTGTGCAGGCCGGGGAAGGAAGGGGCACAGGCTCCCTCGGACGTGAGTGAGAGGCTAGGGAGAAGCTGGCCTGCAGGGGACGGGCGGGATTTAAGGCCAGAGCTGGGTCAGAGGGCTGTGAGGGCACAGGAGGACTGAGGGAGGCAGAGTAGGGCAAGAGACCGCAGCCTCGCTGTGGATCCCAAGGACCCAGGAAGGGTGTGATGGGAGAATTGGAGCCCACAGTGAACGTGAAGAGACAGAACACGACGCAGCAAAAGGAGGGGCGAACTGCACTTTCTGCCCAGCTCTCGGCTCACACTGTGAGAGAGGAGGAGGTGGGTGCCTCCAGTCCACGTGACTGTGTGACCCCCTGGAGAGGGGGCTTGGTCAGTGCCACTTAGGGGAGTGGCCAAGTGAACCTGGGATCAGAGCAGGGGTAAGGTGGCTTCATCTCAGGGCTGCCAGAGTTCAAATCCCACAGGGACTGGGTGAGGGACAACTGTGGAGATGTCCAGGATCACAGAGCCATGGTCAGGCCAGTAAGGGGCACCCAGAGTGTTGTGGGCTGAACAACTCAGGCCCTAAGCCCACAACCAGAGCCCAGAACCAGCCTGAACTTCTGTGGAGGTAAGAGCACCAGGATGCTGACTTCACCCCCAGCCCACTGCGGGCCGGCTGGGATCATCCAGCATGGATCTGGGCTCTGTCTGTCTCCTGTGACTACCAGAGACTGCAGAGACAGCGCTGAATTAGACATTTCAGAAAACTGTGGGCACAAGAAGATAACCAAGGGGGCCTGAAATCACAGGAAATCTGTTTGTTTTTTTCTTCTTCTTCCTTAAATTATATTGTTTGTTTTGGTACAGAGGATCAAACTCTCGACCTTGTGCTTGTGAGGCATGTGACAGAACCACTGAGATAGATCCCCAGCCTGTTCTGCTTTTTTTCTTGTTTCAGTTTTTTTCATGAGTGTGAACACTTTGGGGTTTTTTTGGTTTTATTTTCATCTTGTTTTTGCTTTTTGCTCCTTTCTTTCCCTCCTGTTTGCCGAAGTCTGGGTAATTTTGCTTTGCTCTTCAGCCTTCCCTCCAATCTCTTCCTCTTCTTTCATTGCCCCGTTTTCCCCTCTTATCCCTTTTATTTTTTTTCTCTTATCCCTTTTAAATTTACTCCCTTAAGGGTAAAATCACTCTACAAAGCAGATATTTACATAATTTTCTGACTTGTCTTAGATTTTGTTATATAAATATAAATTCTTATCTCGAGTTCAAGGTGGCAAATTGCCAAGACCATCTGGGCATCATAGAAAATCACATAGTCCAGTACCAAAGAACTAGTTGCTAGGCCAAATAAGAGGCAACCTCTCATCCCTAATAAACTGTAGAGGCAGAAGCCAGGTGTGGTGGCACACACCTGTAATCTCAGCATTCAGGAGGCTGAGGCAGGAGGATCTTTGTGAGTTCAAGGCGAGCCTGAACTATATAGCAAGATCTTTTCTCAGAAAACAACAACAGGGCCAGGGACTTAGCTCACTGGTGCTGCTGCCTGCCTTGCAAAAGCAAGACTGGTGTATCCTAAGTACCAAAAACAACAACAACAACAACAAAAAACAAAACCTGAAGAGGAAGGATCTTGGAACAGACTCCAAAGGCAAATCCCAGGTATGCCTAGAAAAGTAGTCATTTTGAATAAGGGTTTGGCTATGTAATTCAGGCTGGCCTTGAACTCACTATGTAGCCCAGGCTGGCCTCAAACTCATGCTGATCCTCCAGCCTCACCCTCCTGAGATAAATACCTGGTCCCAGATCACGCCTTAGAAAAAAATGTGTTAGACCCTGTGGACTGGGAGGCTGAGGCAGGAGCAGTCTTAGTTTGAGGCCCCATGGATCAATTTATTGAGCCCCTGCATAAAACAAAAAGTAAAAAAGAAAGTACAAAGAGATCACACTGTGACAACTTAGGAAATTTGAAAAGGGACAGAACTTTTGAGTCAAGGTGAACGGTTTATTGTCACTGTTGTGCTCCAAACCAGCAGGATGCTGGGATTATGTAGGAAAAGGGACAGAACTTTGAGTCAAGGAGAACAGTTTATTGTCACTGTTGTGTTCCAAACCAGCGGGATGCTGGGAGGTGGTGCACACCAGTCAGTGTAATTTCTACCCAGCCCTTGGCAGCAGTGCAGGAGAAGGAGACCAGCAGGGGAGGAAACGGCCTTGTTGCTTGACCAGCACCATCCCCACATCCCCGCTGCTCTGTCCCTGCCCTGGGGCTGGGGAAGGAGGCTCCTGGTGGAGGAGAGGACAGTGGTGGTGGGGACTCCTGTCTGCCTCCCAGCCCTCCCATCTGGCCCGCTGCGTCCCCTCCCTCCCCACGCCGGCCCCTCCGCTTCCCTTCTCAGCCCCAGCCTGGGCTCAGACCTCCCCTGAGTGAGTGGCTCCTCAGGGCAGAGGGCCTGGTCCCCTCCTGAAGGGGACAGGAGCCGGGAGGGCAGCACCCAGGGCTGGGCACTGTGAGAGGAAGGAGGGGTCAGAGGGAGGAGGATTCAGAGCAGGGGTGAGGGGCGTGGTCAGAGGGAAGCTGAGGACGCTGCCTCCTGCTTCAGCCCCAGCTGCCCGCCCCCTGTTGATCCCTCCCTGACTTTGCCCTGACCACCCGGAGCAGGAAGATGTTCCTGGCGCTCTTCAAATGGGCTGGAATCTCAAGCTTCCTGTGTTCCCTGCATGCCAGCAGAGAAGTTAACTTTTCAATCCCATTCACGGTCTGCCATGACCTGGCTAATGGACAGCTATGGTTTCCTGGTTCAAGAGCCGAGGTGAACATGAGGTTCTCAGGGAAAATGTGGAGAACTCCTGACGTGTCCTGGGTCTGGGTCCGGGTCGTGGGTGGCTGCTGCCCAGTGTACAGCGAAGGCTCAGCTGCAGGTGCGTGGGAAGGTGTGTATTCCGTGACGAGTGCCTCAGTGTCCATACTGTGTCTCAGTTCCTTGTGTGCCCGAGAAGCCCGATGCCCCGAGTCCTTCCAAACTCGTGGTCCTGCTCATCAGCAGCACGGAGCAGTTGTCCCAACTCCCGCCTGCCTCTGAGGGTCCTGGGTCTGGGTCAGGGTCGTGGGCAGCTGCTGCCCAGGATGCAGGGACTGCTGAGTGGCAGGGTGGGAGTTTCTGGTGTGTGGGCCCTTGAGGGCTTGTGTCTGCCATCGTGGCAGAAATGAGATTTGTTCTGAGGCCACACTGGTCCTGAGTTCATGGTTTTGCAGTCAGCACAGGGGGCCTGAGGGGTTCAGTGTAAGGATTTGGGTCATCTGAAGGACAGACAGAGACAAGCGGGAGCTCTTCCAACCTGGGAAGTTGGCACTTGGTGGCCTGGCTCCTTCCCTGAGGACCTTGTCGCCAAGATGGTGCCCAGCCCCCACTGTGGGTCCGGTGTTCCTTTCTCAGGTCCCTCACCCTGGCCCCCAGGCTTTATCTGTCACAGTGGAGGGAGCGACAGTAGACACCTGTGACGGTGGCCATGCAAGGTTGACTCCCACAGGTGTGAGAGCCTGTCCTGGGTTGTGCGGCTCGCAGACCCTGGGAACGTGAGAGCAGGGTTGGTCCCTGCAGGAGCAGCACAGGTGCCTTCCTTTTGCTCCCTAGGGCCTAAGATCCAGACCCCAAACAATTCTCAGAGGTCCCCATCCCAGGTGACCTCCACCCTGGCTCCATTCACGCCCCCTCTTGGGACCACGACCCACCATGTCCCTATTTTCTCCCTGTCCTCAGTCCCACTGGTGTCTCCCTCCTACTTGACCTAAGGTCCCAGGGGCTCCTCCGTAGAGCTCAGGGCAGAAGTCTCTCTGGCCGGATTCACAGGTGATGGCGCCAGACCCAGAGGGAGCAGCTGGAACAGGGGACAGGGTCCTGCTTCCGAGGTTCCCTCAGGAGACGATGTTTGTGGGTTCATGACGAGGCTGAACACCAGCTGCTGTGGGCTGGAGAACACACTCTGCCCTGTGCTCATTCAGTGCACAAGACACATGTACGTCTGTGCCGACTTTAGGGAACATTTTGAGCCCCACACCTGACTTGTACCCGGGTCACACCCAGGCCTGTCCTGGTGGTGGGCATCAGGGTCCTGGTGAGGAGGGCACCTGGGTCTGGGCGTCTGTGCTCAGCCCTGTGGCCACACGGTTTCGATACCGCATTGCCCTGGGGAGGAGGCTGTGTGTGGTGGGGCCCAGGGCTTCTGAGCATCTTGGAATCCAGGGGCCCAGTAGGAGCTGAGGCCCAGGCTGAAGAGGAAGGGAGCCCGGGAGCCCTGGTGCCTCCCCGAGGGTCTGCTCTCCTCCTGCCACCCCTCCTGTCAGCCTCCTGAAAGCAAAATCCTAGCCAGCTGAAAAGCACACACATCTCCATCTACTCCTTGTTTCTAAGCAGATTAAAGTCAGGTTTCAGAAACTCTTCACTAAGGTTTTTAATGAAATCGCCTCTCATTAGGAGACAGCAGCTCGGTGTCCACCTGATATCCCCAGGTGCAAACTCTTCATAAGTCAGACTGGTGACAGAGGACAGAACACCTGGCCCCGGAATTCTGGTGAGAACTTAGCGACTCCCAGAACCACCGGGGTGTTTTCCACGGCGTGCAGCGCTTCAGGACGATGATCTGACAGCTTTGTATTAGGGCCTTCAGGGCTTTATTGTTGTTCCAGATCCTTTTATATCAAGTATGATTGCTAATATTGGTCCATTGAATCAGCTGTGAGCCAGATCTAACCAGAATTACACAGTGTCCTTTGAAAGGGTTCAGAAACAAGGAGCAGGTTGAACAAACTCCATTTTTTGAGACTCGGTTTTCGTGAGAAATCAAAACCTGATGAGGATAACAGTAAACAGGATCTTCATGGTACAACACAAACCTTACATTTCAGGATAGTTCTTCATAAATATTACGGAGACTTGAAAAGCATCTTAAGTACACTTGAATTCAGGCTGGGGATTTAGCTCAGTGGTTCGGATTCCTGCCTTGCAAGCACAAGGACACGAGTTCCATCCCTGGTATCAAAAAAATAAATAAATTGAGGGAAAAGTTCAATCCCTGGTGCCAAGAACACTTGATTTGTTACTTTTCTCATGTCAGAGTAAATACTTATTTCTTTGTTAATAGTCTCTCTCCTCTGGAAGGTAAATTATGAAGGACAAGACCAGAGATTTTGCTTGTGGCAGCTGTATTTCCATGGCCCTGAAGTGCTCCTCCTTGTAGATTTCAACATATTTGTGGATGAGTAAGTGAGTGCAGAGCTGTCCTCACGGAGGGACAACAGTCTGCCCTTGGCACCAGTGTCACCCACAGATCCACAGGTGAAGGCTTGGGCCCCAAGAGGGCAGCACTGGCAGGTGCTGTGGACCCCTCAGAAGTGGGGCCCAGGGGCCAGCCCAGCCCACACCCTGCCTGTGCCCAGCATTCCTGACTTCTGTGTCTTCCCCACTGGTCTCTGTCCCCTGGGTCCCCTGCTCACCCTCACAGGCCCTGCACAGCCCTGCTGCCCTCCCCTGTGCCCTCTCCGCAGTCCTGCATCTTCCCTCTCCCTCAGGGCACGGGGATCACAGGACCTGATCTGCCAGCCTCTCTCTGCTTCCTGGCTGTGCTGAGAGCCCCAGGATCCCTCAGTTTGAGAGAATGGTAGGCTGCCTACTGTAGATCTAATTATTTTAATACTTTATGTATGCCAAGAATTACATATTACAATTTTTGTTGTAATATTTGAAAATCAATATTAATATTGAGGCCATTTTTTGAAATATTTCAGTACACATCTTTTCTTTCTTTCTTTTCTTTTCTTTTTTGGTACCAGGGATTGAAGTCAGATCCTTGCACTTGTGAGGCAGGCAGTGGTAACCACTGAGCTAAATCCCTGGCCCAAAATCTTTTTAAAATAAGATAGAAAGGATTTTAGTATCAGCCGGGAGTGGTAGTGCATGCCTGTAATCCAGGCACTTGGGAGGCTGAGGCAGGAGGATCGGTGTGAGTTTGAGACCAGCCTGGGCTGCATAGTGAGTTCCACGTCAGTCTCAGCTACATAGTGAGAACCTGTCTCAAAAAACCCCAAAACAACAAAAGCAAAACAAGCAAACAAACAAAACCAAAACATGGGATCTTACCATGACACTAAAGAAAATCACCATAACTGTGTGGCACTGTTCATGTCCACGTAATCACATTTTCTTAATCAGTCCCCACGCACCCTCCCTGGGAGGCGAGGTCGGGAGCCCTGGGCCTCTCTGAGGCTCCACCTCCGCCCCTTGGCAGCAACACCTGGGGGAGCTGAGTAGGAACTTTTCCTTGCTCCCTGTGTCTCTGGTTTGGGAGATTAGATTCTGAATTCTCCCCATTCATTACCGCTGCCTTAGTCGTTCTTTCTGGAGGAGTCCGGCGTCTGTGTTGTTTCCACTCCCGTTTCTCTATTGCCCAGATGGTGGACATTTTTCACGTATTTATTTTCCACTTATCCTTCTGAGAAGCGTCTCTCCATTCACTCGCCCATGTTTCCATGGATTCCTTTGGGGTCCAATTCTTTGGGGTTCTTTACACTCGATGTGAGTCCTCTGTCCCTGGAAGAGCTGCAAACACTTTCCCATCCCACCGGCTGTCACTTCTCTCTCTGTTGCTTACTTTGCTGTGTAGAAGCGTTTTTGTTTGTTTGTTTTTGACAGGGTCTCACTATGTAGTTGACACTGACCTGGAACTCACTATGTAGCCCATGCTGTTCTTGAACTCACAGAGATCCTCCTGCCTCAGCCTCCTGGCATGAGACATCATGCTCAGCTGGAAGAGTTTTAATTGGATGTGATCCCATTTGTTGATTCTCGTTATCTCTTGTGCACTAGAGGTTCTTTTATAATAATCCTTCTCCGCGTGTATGTCTCAAAGACTTTTACCTATTTTCTTTTCCAGTAGGTGAAGGGCTTCTGTTTTAACATTTAGATCTTAGGCCCACATGGATTTTATCTTACTACCTGGTGACATATCTGGGTCCAGACTCACGTGCACATCTCACCGTGTAGTTCACTTGAGCCTGTCCTTGAACTCACCTGTTATTCCAGGATGGCCTCAAACTCAGCGATCCTCCTGCCTCAGCCTCACACGTGCTGGCATTGCAGTCATCACGATCACGTCCGCTCTCCAGGATTCTAGGCGGTGAAGAAGGCGCAGTCTGTGCGGGTGCGGAGAGGACCTTGAGCACCACGGCCCAGGCCGAGCTCCCTCCCCTCTGTGACTCGGGAGGGGCGGCCTCAGGGGCGTCCTGGCTGGGAGGGAGTCGGGGTCCCTCTGGGAGGTCCGGGCAGGTGCGGGACAGGGCGGGGCCGCGCTCTCCTCTCACAGCCTCTGCGCGGGATCGGGAGACCGAGTGACAGAGCAGCCGGTGCGGGAGGAGAGGGTCAGGGCAGAGTCCGCGGGCCCAGGGCGGTCGGGTGAGGACGCTCATCCCGGGATTCCCCTCTGCCTGGGTTTCACTTCTGCCTCGGCCAAGCCGTGTCGGGTGCTTCTGCCTGGACACTCGTGACGCGACTCCACTTCCCACTCCCATTGGTTGCTGTCTCCTAGAGCAGCCAATCAGCGTCGTTGACGTTCCGGTATAAATACCCCCACGGAGCCGCATTAAGTGAAAAGTCACGAACTCCGAGAATGGGGGTGATGGCGCCCCGAACCCTGCTCCTGCTGCTGTCGGGGACCCTGGTGCTGCCCGAGACCTGGGCGGGTGAGTGCGGAAGGGAGGCGGGGAGGAGGAGGGGGCGCGGGAGGAGGTCGCGGACTCACCGCCCGCCCCGCAGGCTCCCACTCCCTGCGCTACTTCGACATCGGGGTGTCCCGGCCCGGCCACGGGGAGCCCCGCTTCATGATAGTCGGCTACGTGGACGACACGCAGTTCGTCCGCTTCGACAGCGACGCCCTGGATCCGCGGATGGAGCCGCGGGCGGCGTGGATGGAGAAGGTGGATCAGGCGTATTGGGATCGGGAGACACAGAACGCCAAGAACACCGCGCAGATTTACCGAGTGGACCTTCGGAACCTGCGCGGCTACTACAACCAGACCGAGGACGGTGAGTGACCCCGGCAGGGTCAGAGCTCACCACCCCTGCCCGGCCGCACCGACGGGGTCCGA